CAGAGGGTGTTAAGGAACAGCCCCGACTCATGCCGATTTCCAGCCCCCATACAATGTGAGGATTGTACTTCTGCTTAGAGAGCTCTAAGAACAACCTGCAGACATAACGCAGGACCAAGTAACCCCACGCAGATGAGCGTAACTCGTCCCTGGCCTTATGAACTTTGTGATGTCAGGGTGGGATGCTGAATCAGCCCTCCAAAGTCAGGAAAGGAGCTGTAGTCTGCAGGAAGGAGAAGACTGGCTGTCCTCTCCCAGGAACTTGGGATCCTTGCCAGATTTGTGGCTCCAGCCCCAAGAAATATCAGGCAGGATTCATCACTGTTAATAATAACTGGCACATGACTGAGTGCAGAACTGAAACGCAGATGGCCAAGGAGCCGAGAGTGTCCTTAAAAGAGAAGGGACAAGTTTGGGTGATGGAAGAAGGTATCAGAGAGAGAAACACGCATGTATTTACATGTGATTTCAGGACATTCTACCATGCCCCCACCCCACCCCTTTGTGATGCCCAACTCTGTAGCCCACTTGCCTGCCTCAGATGCTATCACTCACTCCTGGATACAAAAGCCATCCAACCTTGTTCTGTATTAGGCGATTTCTCAAGCCCTGACCCCTACTGTGGAAAAACAATGTAGGTCTTCTCTATAACAAATGCTTTCATTTTCTCTTTTTACCTCCTCTTCACCTGAGACATTTCTGCAGCTATTTTCTTCTTCCAGGTAGCTGAGTGTTCCAAACTCCTAATTAAGGGGCAACACCTAGACTTGGCTTTCCCCTGCCTCAGCTCCTCGAGAGGCTTCCTCACAGAGTTCAGTTAAAGGTGCTAAGCCACGATGTCCAAAAATGAGAATGAAGCCAAAATCCACTCAATGATTCTTCTGAATTGTGCCTGTTTGGATGCGAGGCCAACTGCATGGTTTCCAAGAATCCTCGGGGCAAAGGGCCTCTGCCCCCGCAGCTGGCATCAGGAAAATGGAATAAACAGCCCAAATTTCAGCTGAGGACCACTGCTCAAAGGGGTTCCCAGATCCTCTGAGCTGTGAATAAAGATGATTTTTTTTTTATAGGATAACTGAATGGAGAAAGATTTTCACAGGATAAAATGGATCCCTGGCTGGGCACAGTGGCTCACACCTGTAATCCCAGTACTTTGGGAGGCCGAGGCGGATGGATCACCTGAGGTCAGGAACTCAAGACCAGCCTGGCCAACATGGTGAAACGCCATCTCTACTAAAAATACAAAAATTAGCCTGGGATGGTGGCACATGCCTCCTGAGTAGGTGGGACTACAGGTGCATGCCCCAGCTACTCGAGAGGCTGAGGCAGGAGAATCGCTTGAACCTGAGAGGTGAAGTTTGCAGTGACCCGAGGTCACGCCATTGGACTCCAGCCTGGGCAACAGAGTGAGACTCCTTCTCAAAAAAACAAAACAAAAAACAAAGAAAACCAGATCACTTCTTTGCTGGATTCAGTTCAAACTTAAGATTTAGAAGTGAGTTCTAATTTGAGTCTGATAATATCACTTCCCTTGACAAGTTAGGGAAAATTAAAATATTGTACAAAAAGAATAGAGGGAGATCAAGAAAACGGGACAACCATTGGCAAAATGAGAAAGTAGACAAAACCAGGTTTCAGTGCCTGATCCCCTGTACTAGTGCACCTGGCGTTCCCTGGGGGAACCTGCCATTGGAATAAATAACCCAAGCCAACACAATGCCTGGTCAAAACTTACCTATTCTGTGCCCAGTGGAGATAAAGCATATTTTAAAGTGGCCATGAAATAGAGACACTGGAACTGTAATCAGGGTTATCTAGGGACTTAATATTACAAATCAAAGGCATGAACCTCAGATACTATTTCAGGCAGCAAAGGAGATATTTAGAGACAAGGCGACTTTTCCAACTACCTCCAGATTTGATTCTCCTGTGATGAAATCCTAATTTGCAGATTTGTGTCCCAACTAACCTCCCTTCTCTGGCCTCTTGCATTGTTCTCTCCATTATAAATTAACCTACTGACCATGGACACATAAGAAGTGCATCCGGCACATATGTTTATTGCAGCACTATTTACAACAGCAAAGACTTGGAACCAACCCAAATGCCCATCAATGATAGACTGGATAAAGAAAATGTAGCACATATATACCATAGAATACTATGCAGCAATACAAAAGAGTGAGTTTATGTCCTTTGCAGGGACATGGATGAAGCTGGAAGCCATCATTCTCAGTAAACTAACACAGAAACAGAAAACCAAATACTTCATGTTCTCACTAATAAGTGGGAGTTGAACAGTGAGAACACATGGACACGGGAGGGGAACTTCACACACCAGGGCCTGTCGGGGGTGGGGGGCAAGGGGAGGGAGAACATTAGAACAAATGCCCAAAGCATGTGGGGTTAAAACCTAGATGATGGGTTGATAGGTGGAGCAAACCACCATGTCACATATATAGCCGTGTAACAAACCTGCACGTTCTGCGCATGTATCCCATAACTTAAAGAAAAAAAAAAGTTCATCTGGGCAAAAGTCTCTGAAACCCACTACTTTCTATGGTGGAACCGGTACATGAAGGTGAATGGAACCAGTTTCAAAGGGTTTCTGCAGCAAGAAGTGCATTTGCAGAGAAGTTTGTGAACAGCTTGCCAAATTTCAGCCTGGAAGAATTTTATTATCTTTAATTTACCAACCTAGAAATGGGCTTATAAGGGAAATTCTTAGTGATGTCTTCTTAGCAGGCAACCGTAGCAACGGCCACACACCTACCTCACTGCCCTGGAGCCTGGAGTACACCGTTACGTCCAAGTTCTGGCCTTTGAAAAACTGAAGCTGAAACAACTGGAGCGTAACCTGCCTGCTCCACCCTGGAGTGCTCAGAGGAGAATAAATTAACTTCCCCCAGCCAACCCAGTAGTCCCAGTCCTGAGCTAGAAAGCAGTAGCTGTTAGAAAGAATGCAGAAAGCAAAGCCACAGTGCCTTCATTATACTATTAAACTGTAATCACCTTTTTCTATAAGCGTCTTCCTGTTTTCCCTGAAGGGGGATGGTTTAACTGCCGTGCTGGGGCAGAGGTGCCAACTCAGCAGAGAGACTTCCTGTGGGTCTGGGAGGCAGTTGTGTTAAGCATGCTGTGGCATGCCCACTGACCAGAGGCAGGCTGTGAGGGGGCCCCCCATCCTGACAGAGGGCCAGAGGCAGGGGCTCAGAGACTAACTAAGGCTCCTGGCTTAAGGAATGATGTTGATTTCCTTTTCTCAGGGCCAGCACTAGGATGAGGCAAGCCAAGTGCTCAGGGAACAAGACTTAAGGAGCTGTTCACTCTCGGGTCCTGCAAGTAGCTCGTTCGCCCTACTCAGAGTCAACAACAGCACAGGTTGTGTGTGTGTGTACATGTACTTTGGAAGTCGGCAGTTCTCAAAGTGTGGTCCCGAGACCAGCATCATCAGCATCACCTGGGAACTTGTTAGAAATTCTTAGTCCCCCTGAATCAGACACTCGGGGAGCGGGGCCCAGCAATCTGTGTCTTACAAACCCACCAGGTGACTTGATGCAGCTGAGGTCTGAGAAGCCCCGTGCTGGAGAAGAGTGTTCTCCAGGCCAGTCTCGTGGCATTTCTAAGGCCGTCTCCCACAATGCTTCCATACAGCCAGCATAGGGAAAGGGTGAGTGGTGAGATTACAGAGACTTTCCTAAAGCCATCAGCAAGATAGGAATCCCTCGAATAATAAATCAGGAATTGCTTTTTCCCAGCCACCCCTAAGTAAACTGTAGTAGTCAAGACTTGGCAATAAAGATGGAGATTACTACTGAACCAGTTCCTTCCTGTTTCTTCCTAACTAGACACTCAGAGTTAGCCACTCAGTGACACTGTGATATGGACTAGCCATTTGAATATTCTATGGCTGAGATTCCTTCCTCTGTAAAATGGGTCCAACATCACCTACCTGTGAGGGTCAGAGAAGCTAATGTACGCAGAACCCTGAGTAAAGGCCTGGGGCAGAGTAAGCTGTGGTGACAGTTCATACATCTAACCAGGGATTCTGGACTCCATCCTCCCCCAGGCAGCCAGGTGGGAGGATCTGGGACCTGAGGGCAATTGAGTGGGGAAGGAGGTGAGCTGGTTTCATCTAGGGTACTATGTTTTTAAAAGAAGGCTATTTTCCAATCCAAATAGTCTGTGGGCAGCAGGTTTCACTGGTGGTCACAAAAGAGAGAGAGAGAAAGGAAAGGAGAAGGGATATCCAGTGCCACCTGCTATTGGGTACTGAGAACCACACTTTAAAAAAAAAACAAAACAAAACAAAAAAAAAAACCAAAAAAAAAAAACCTATATAAAGGCAAGAAGACACTTCAGAAGACCACACATTTCAACTTTGTCCTTGGGACCCAAACAGTATAGAGTAGTAAGACAATGCCCACCAGTGAGACAGGGACCCCAGGCATTTGGCAGTGTACATGGTTTCTTTTGTCCAGGGCAGGATTATAAACACGAGTGTAAGGATGAAATCATGCAGCAAAAAACACTGTCAGGATTGAGGCAGACCTGATGTCTTAGCACTGAGGTCCCATCACAGAATTGTGGAACCTTTTCTGCAAAGCTGAAGGAGAGCTAGTCCCATCCAACTTTTCCCAACTCACAGACATGTCTCCTGAGGACCAGAAAGGTTGCTGGCCTGCAGAGGGCACATAGCTGGTGGGGAACAATCATTAGCTGTGCTCCGTTTCTCCCTTCCATTAAGGAGTGCTGGGGAGAGACGCAAATTTTAAGCTTCTACCCATAGGCCAGGTAAACAAAGGGCTGCCTCCCGCCCGCCCCGTGCCTGCTTCGGCCATCCCTTGCAGCACAGCTGAGGGCCTGAAGGAGGATCCATGACTCACACTTTTCTTGCCGCGGGGAATTAACTCCAAGATAACATTAACCAATGTGGGAAAAAAAGCAAGCCATCAAGGAAGAAAGTTCACCTCGAGCCCCTCTCCACCAAGCCCCCTTACCTTCCTCATTTAAAATCCAGGGCAGAAAGGCCAACACGGAGTCAAAGCTGCAAGTGCTCTCTTCAAAGGCGCAGGACCCAGCGGGCAGGTCGAGGGCACCCGCGAACTGCAGGGCTGCGGGCACAAAGCGAGTTTCAGTTCGAGCTCCCCCCAGGAGCGTTTGCACCAACTCGGGGAGCCCCAGGGGGGACTACCTGGTGAAAGTGGAGGAAAGACGAGCGGGAGGGGGTGGGAGAGGGATGCAGTACCTGTCCCCCAGCATCCCCGGGCCCCTCCGCTGAGCGACCCCACGCCCACCCCCACCCCACGCTTGGCCAGGGGAGGGAGTTAGCGGCTGCGGAGGATCGGGAGGCGCCCTCGGATAGCCCAGCCCAGCACGATGAGCCGGGCCCGCGGGGGCAGCAGGAGCGGAGGCGAGTAGTCAGAGCGTCTCCGGGGTTGTCCCGGGGTCCAAGGCCTTACCTTGCAACGCCAGGAGGACGCCCCTTAACAGCATAGTCGCGTTTCAGGGAGGATGACTAGGAAGAGGTGCAAGTTGCCAGTCCCCTGGGACAGGCTGCTCCTAGTGAAAGGGATCGTGGGAGGCAGGGGCGCCGGGGACCCGGGAAGGGAGAAGTCGAGAGGTAAAGCTTGCGCTCTGAGCTGCCCAACTTTGCAGAGCGGCTCCCGGAGCCGAGTGGTTTGCTGGAAGGTGCCCGAATGGAGAGTGCCAGCGCCCCGGCGCTGAGCAGCAGCCTCAGGTCAGACCGCGGCCCAGCTGGTCCTGGGCGACGGTGGGGCTGGACAGGGAGGAGACAACTGCACACTTTGAAAGGCCAGCCACAACTGGCTGGGAGAGGAGAGGTCGGCCAGCAGTGCCTTCGCTCAGGATTTTAAAGCTTGGGACCAGAGCCCTTGCAGACACTTGGAAGGGGCAGGCCTTCCAGGAGTCCCTCCGCTGGGTTGGGACCGGAGGCGCCCGCCCCGCCCAGCCGCGGTGGGAACTCGCTTATTTCTGGGGACAGCTTCCCTGCATCTGGCATGTCAGTCCCGCAGGGCTGGCCCTAATTTTAACTTCTTCTCCCCAGAATGAAAGAGGGTGGAATTCTCCTAGGACAGCCTGGAGGAAAATTTGGAAACGGTTGGGTGGAATAAGCTTTATATCTAAGGAGTTTCAGCATTTACGGTCCAGCAAAGCTAACCCTGGAATACCACCCCCACTTTTTTTTAGCCGGTGGAATGTCTGGCATGCCTGGTGCTCAGCATTCCCTCCGTCCGGTGAAATGGGGGCATTCCTTCTCTCCAAAGAGCCATGATAGATTGATTAGTGGGAGGCTTTAAAATGGGAGGGGGTTGTTGGAGGCAGTTAATTCTGAGGAACCTGTTTGCTTTGGGCACTAAGTGGGTCTCCAACAATATTCTCTTCCTATAAAGAGTTCTTCTTCCTCCCCTCCTCGTCTTCCTCCTCCTCCTTTCTCCCATTTATAATTTTGTGCAGGCAATTTTGTGAAGAGGGCAGTAGTTTTAAAACCGGACTGTGCATCAGAATCTGCTGAAGGGCCTCACCTTCCGTTTCTGATCCAGTAGCTCTGGAGTGGGTCTGAGAGGCTGCACGTCCCTAGTAAGTGTCCAGAGGCTGCTGCTGCTGCAGCTGGTTTGGGACAATACTTTCAGGACCACTGGCCTAACAAACCCCTGTTGAGCCATCATTTCAACCTGCTCCCATGCCTTCACCTGGCTTCCAGACCGCTGGGTTTCCTGTCTTTCTTGGCCACTTCTTCTCAGCCTCTGCTGTTACCTCTGTAACTCCTTAACACGGGAGTGCCTCCAAGTTCTTCCCTATCACTCCTGTTTCTTTCACTATCCAGCCCCTTAATGCTTTCCTCCAGTCTCAGAGTTTTAGATACCAATGATAGCCGGATAATTCCCACATTTATATTTCTAGCCCAGACTGCTCACTAACGCCAGACTCTTCGATCTCATTGCCACCTCAATATTTCCAATTGGATGCTTCAGAGCTATTTCATACTTAACAGGTCCCAACATGAAGCCTGCGTATTTCTTCCCAAACCCATCCTTCCCCTGCGTCTTCCCCATCTGAGTTAAAAGAACTATTTTCTTCCAGTTGCTCAGGAGAGAAAACTTGGAGGCATCTCCAGCTCATCTGTTCCTGTCAGACGTTGCCAATTTCTATCAGTTCAGGATTCGAAACACAGCAGATGCTGACCACGCTCCGCACCCGTGGTGGTGATGTCTTGGTTGGTCCAAGATACCCTCACCATCAGCCTGGGACACTGCAGTGGTCTCCTGACCATGGTTCTCCCTTCATTTGCTACCCTGCTCACCCTACTCTATTCTGAACACACTAGTCAGGGTTATCCTTTTAATACAGAAATTGGGTCATGTCACTCTTTAGCTCAAGGCCCAACAAGTTCCCAAGTCATTTAGTGAAGTCCAAAGTCTTCATGATGACCAACCAAGCCCTATAAGACCTGCTCCACCCTCTTCTTTGTTTTCTTTTCTTGCTTTCCTTCTCTTTTTGTTTTTTTGAGGCAGAGTCTCACTCTGTCACCAGGCTGGTGTGCAGTGGTGCGATCTCCGCTCACTGCAACGTCCATCTGCCAGGTTCAAGCAATTCTCCTGCCTCAGCTTCCCAAGTAGCTGGGATTACAGGCACGTGCCACCATGCCCAGCTAATTTTTGTATTTTTAGTAGAGATGGGGTTTCACCATGTTGGCCAGGATGGTTTCAATCTCTTGACCTCGTGATTCACCCACCTTGGCTTCCCAAAGTGCTGGGATTACAGGTGTGAGCCACTGCACCCAGCCCCACCCTCTTATTTCTCTGACTTCAACCACCCTGCTTATTCCTCTCTAGCTACACGGACCTCTTGGTTTGTCCTCAAACACAGTCCAGCTATCCTTTCAGAATTTCGCACTGGTTGTTCCTTCTGCTCAAAATGCTCTTCCACAAAGAGCCACACAGCTCACTACCTAATGAGGTCTTCACTCAAATGTCACTTTCAGTATCAGAAAATTTAGTAACCTTCTCCCTAATAAGCAAAATATGTCTGGAATCCTTTTTTAAAGGTAGGAGCAAATTTTCATGTGTTTTCTGCAAACAATGATTCAAATGGTCTAAATTTTTTTCATTAGTGTGTGCCTCAGGTAGTAGCTAATGACAACATTTATTGTGTTTGCCATTATAAATGTTTTATGTAGATAATCTCACTTAAGCTTCACAAAATCTCTATAGGATAAATATGTTTATTATCCGCATTTAATAGATGGGGAAGCTGAGGCGCAGAGTTCAGTGACTGTGGACAGTAGAGACAACACTCAAACCCAGATCTGCTTCATTCCAAAAGCCTATTTTCTCAACCAGCACAGGAGCCCCTCTCACTTGGGTCTTATATTCTTTTTTTGACTTCTTGATCACAGATGGTGTTAAATATCTGATGCATTTCATCACATTACTTAACTAAAAATTCAAAGACAGTTATACATCCAGTTGAAACCTCAAAACACTATTTTCAACCAAACAAGTTTTCAGCAACAATCAAACTGGTGCTCCTTTTTCCAGATACTTATGGAGTATTTCAAAGTTTTAGAATTGCCTTTGATTCATGTCATATGTTCTAAGTCATAGGAAAATACAAAACCTCAAAACCCTAAAGAGATCCCCTCAGAATTTAAAATATGATTTACAACCTTAAGGTGACATTGTGTATTGCCACCTATGGGAACGGAATCACTATACTTAAGTACAAACTCAGAGTAAATTTTCTATTTTGCATATAATTGTTTGATCCCAAGAATATACGATCCTTAGATACTGACACAAGTTAGAACGTCTGGGAAGCAGACTCTGATTTGGAGTTTAATGTGCAGGGTATTTAATCAGGAGTACCTTGGGATCAGTGTCATGGAAGGGAGGGAGGGAAGCAGGAATGGGTGGAGGGAGAATTAAAGTTGCAATGCAAATCCCACAAAGCTTCTATCAACCCCCCAGGGAACTATGGAGTTAAAATGGCCTATCCAACTTGTCTCATGTTAGGCTGCAATGAAAGGGCATTTGTAGTGCTGTCTTCATCTGTCACTGGAGGTGGCCTACCTTGGGACAGAAGTGATCTCCAGTGAGGCAGCTCTCTGCACTGGGGAGGATCAGAAGTTGAAGGCCGATGACAATACTCCCAGCCGCTGGGACTAAAAGTCCTTTCTTGAAGGGGGATCTTGACAGCACAGCCATGCCTACCACAGACGTTTTGCAGAGAAAGGAAATGATACTGTATATGGCCTAAGTCAGGATGCAGGGGAAAGGACTGAGGAGGGAATCCAGGGAATCTAGAAATTATGTCAACCTACTTCCTTTGGTCACTAATCATAGCACCCATATGGTACCCACCCTCTTATTACTTGGGAAAACAGGATCAGGCCCCAAGGAACCCAGAACTCTATTATTCTCCAAGATTTAGCTTAAGCAACCGATCAAATAACGCATGTCAAGTTCTGGCTTACAGAAAGCATTCAGTACTTAGGTATTGTAATAGGTTGAATGGTGGCTCAAAAGATACATCTGTATCCCAGAACCTGCAAATGTGACCTCATTTGGAAAAAGGGACTATGCAAAATTAATTAAGTTAGGGATCTTGGGATGAAATCATCCTGCATTACCAGGTGGGCCCTAAATCAGTGACAAGTGTCCTTCTAAGAGACAGAAGAAAAGGCACAGACACATGTGGGAGGTGGTCATGTAAAGATGGAGTCGGAGATTGGAGTGATGCAGCCCCAAGCCAAGGAATGACAACAAATTCTCCCCTAGAGCCCCAGAAGACTGTGCTCTGCAGACACCTTGATTTAGGGCTCTGGCCTCCGAAACTGAGAGAGGAAAGCTTTCTGTTCTTTTAAGCCACCCAGTTTGCGGTAATTTGTTCTGGCAACCATAGAAAACTAATATAGAATGCACTAAGTAAACACGTGCCAGGCACCTAGCATGCATTATCTCATTTAATCCATGCAATATCCCTAAGAGGTGAATATCATTATTGTCCCCATTTTATAGACTAGGAAACAGGACCAGAGGGGGTTAATTAACCTGCTCAAAGTCACACATCCAGCCAGCATGCAGCAAGGATTTGATCCCAGATGCCTACCCCTCCTGGTTATCCACTACGCTGCCCCTAAATGCTTCCTCCTTACACAGGCCTGTCTCTCCTAATGAGGGCTGCCTACACCACACACAGGCACCACGCCATGCTTTCTCTATGGGTTCCTGCATGATGCTCACCTCTCGCAGAGCCTGCCCATCCTCTCTGTTCTTTGCCAATCTGCTCCTGCCTCCCTCCAGGTACCTTTCACCAGGGACTTTGCTCCTTGTTGTACCACTTCTAGCCTGGAGATCACCAAGTTCTTGCTTCTAACTTTCTGGGTCAAGCTGAGGAAGATGAAGCATTGCTGCTCCTCTCTGTCCAGTGTCTTCCCACATAGCCAGGTGAGGCATTGGAGGGAGTGAGCAAATCTGTAGGAAGAAAGCAAGAAAGCCAGCGTTTATGATTGCACCTTTGCCTGCACTACAGAAGTTAGGCCAATCTCAGAGGCTGTCTTTACTGCCCACTTTCCCTTCTGTTTGCTCTCTCTCCTTACTTGTTATTCTCACACAGTGTCATGCCATGATAAGCTCAGCAAATATTTCCTGAGCACCTACTGTGAGCCAGGCACTATGCTAAGGGCTGGAAATCCGGGGGTCAAGAAGACACATCCTCTGCTGCTGAGACAGGAGACTGACCCATGGGACAATAATTTCAATAAAATATGTGGATGAGATAGAATAAAGGCTGCAAATATAAAAAGTCTAGAGGTCAAGGAAGTCACATAAATGAATGGAATGATCTGGTAACAGGGAAGAAATAGGGAGGGATGGAGACTGTGGTTAACTGGAGTAAGTAAGCCCAACTAAAGGGTATTACAGAAACCACCTCTACCCCATCTACTCATGTTTCAAAAGAAGCCCAATATTCAGATATGTCTATAACAGCTCCTGAGTTTCAGACGCCAGCAAGAAATTAAAACAATATACTCAAATCCCTGTGGGGTAGAACAAAACCTGTTGGGAGGTTAAATTCAATTCTTGAGCTGAAGTTTGCAGCATTATGATAGAACCATGGAGACAGAGAGTAGGGTGCCTCACTGCTCACTCCTCCAGAGGAGATAGCCAGGCACACAGCAGCAGTCCCATTCTACAGTAGAGAAAATGGAGGCAAAAAAGTCTAGGTGACTTTTAACCAAGGCTGTATGTCTCTAAGTGTCAGGGATGGGATGAGAAGCCATTAATTAGCTCACCTCCTAGTTGGCCAGTATTTGGAAACATGGAAAGGACTTCATGTGTTCTAGGTCTGGCACAGATGTAAGGTAATTAATAATACAATTGGTAACATCTTTTGTAGTTGTTATATCTTGTTGCGTTCTCATTTATCTCATATATGTAATCTGTTTTTCTTCATACCTGGGTCTCCTTTAATCTATGCCAAGCCATTGTCTCTGGATTTTTGTCTTTGTGTGTTTCTGCCTCTCTCTCTCTCTCTCTCTCTCTCTCTCTCTCTCTGTCTGATGTACTTTGTGTGGGCTCACCTCTATCTCTGTCACTCTACACTATTTAAAAAAAAAATCTTTGACCTGTTTATTGGAATTACATTAAATGTGTACATTGATTTATAAATATTGATATATTTACCTTGGCCCATTGATATAAATTTTTGTGTTTTCCAGTAAACTTTTAAACATATCTTGTGAATTTTATGAACTTTATTCTAATTTTATTCAGAAGAAAAGACCAAATATGCACTCCGACGGTCAGTGGTCTGTGTTGCTTCCATGTCATCTCTCTCTCTGCATACGCCCAACAGGCCCCCACTCATTACACACAATCAGGCTAAAATGAGCTGGTAAAATCATTCCAGGCTCTGGGCTTGTCCTGCCAGTGACCTCCGTAGTTGTATTCCAGCAAGACGTATCTGAAGGCTTTGCCCCGAGGCCAGTGATGGTCCTTGGGTACTGTCCAGCCCTGTTGGCCTCTTACTCCCAAAGAGCAGTCATGTGCCTGCTACGGATTTGAATCATCTCCCATGACGCACCAAGGCCCAAGGGGCAGTCAGTCCTTAGAAATCTCCTTTTATTACAAAATATATAGCCCACTGTTCAAATTGCCACACTCAAATGACTGAACCCATAAAGTAGATACATCTTCTAGAGTTAGCATTTTAAAGGAAATAGATAGTTCAATGGATGCTTTCTCTCTACCATTAATCTTTTCGTCATCAGATTACTCCGGATCCTAGCTGGGAGTCAGACATCCTTCATTACAGCTTGAATGCGACCTTCCAATTTTTTTTAAATTGAGGTTTCCTGGGCTGACCAGTCACAGTGATAATACTACCACGTTTTGTTGAGTGTCTGTAATGTGCCAGGTGGTTCCATGGTCAATTCGTGGAGGAAGAAACTAGACTCA